AGTCCCGGCTGCTCCTCTTCTGATCCAGCTCTCTGCTATGGCCTGGGAAAGCAGTAGAAGATGTCCCAAGTCCTTGGGCTCCTGAACCCACGTGGGAGACCCAGAGGAAGCTCTTGGCTCCTGGTTCCAGATCAGCACAGCTCCAAACATTGCGGCCATCTGGAGAGTGAACCAGCGGATAGAAGATATCTCTCTCTGTCTCTGCCTCTCTCTGTAACTCTTTTAAATAAATAAAAATAAATCTTAAAAAAAAAAAAAAAGAGAGAATCTTTAAAAACCAAAATTCCCATCCTTAAAACAGAGAAGGCTGACTTGGCTGAAAATCAAGATGTTTCATGATCTTTTTATTTTTTAAGTTTGATTTGACTTTATTTGAAAGGCAGAAAGATACAGACAGAGGGAGAGAAAGAGAGAGAGAGAAATAGAAATAGATCTGTTTGTTGGTTCACTACCCAAATGCCTGCAACTGCCGGGGTTGGGGCAGGAGCTCCAGCTTGGTCTCCCACGTAGGTGACAGGGATCCAGATTCTTGAGCCGTCTTCTGCTGCCTTCCAGGGTGTTCATTCAGCAGAAGCTGGATCTGAAACAGAGTTCTAGGACCTGAACGAGGCACTACGGCATATGTGGGCATGGCAAGCAGGGACCTAAGCTGCTGTGCCGAATGCCCGCCCCATTGTTGCCAACACTCTTGATGAGAGCCCGGTAAGAGACTTCCACATCCTCAGGAAGAGCTTTCTGTTCAGTAGAGGCCATTTGGTTTAAATGCAATATTTGGGGCTGGTGTTGAGGGCCAGTTGAGGGCCTCTGTGTGCAGCAGTGGCATCCCATGTGATCACGGGTTCAAAACCCAGCTGCTCCACTTCAAATCCAGCTCCCTGCTAATGCTCCTGGGAAAGCAGCGTAGGATGACCCAAGTGCATAGGCCCCTGCACCCACGTGGGAGACCCGGATGAAGCTGGCTTTGGCTTTGCTCAGTCTGAATCATTGCAGCCGTTTGGGGAGTGAACCAGCAGGGGACAAAGATCTCTCCTCACCCTTGAATAAATAAATAGATCTTTTTTAAAAAGTATGCCATTTTGTTACATAGTTTGTCTCCATTAAACCGACGGCAGTTCTGAGGAACAGCTGTATTTACCAGACAAGAGAAGGGTATAGAACACAAGGGATGCAGGAGGAAGCCTCTGGCACTTCAGCTCTGTCATTTCCTTGCTCTGAAACCTCGGGCCAACCACTGAGGCTTTTTTTTTTTTTTATTTTAACTTTTATTTAATGAATATATATTTCCAAAGTACAGCTTATGGATTACATTGGCTTCCCCCCGCCCCCAGTGACTTCCCTCCCACCTGCTACCCTCCCCTTTCCCGCGCTCTCTCCTCTCCCATTCATATCAAGATTCATTTTCAATTTTCTATATATACAGAAGATCAGTTTAGTATACATTAAGTAAAGCTTTCAACAGTTTGCACCCACATAGAAACACAAAGTGAAAAATACTGTTTGAGTACTAGTTATAGCATTAAATCTCAATGTACAGCACACTAAGGACAGAGATCCTACATGAGGAGTAAGTGCACAGTGACTCCTGTTGTTGACTTTACAAATTGACACTCTTGTTTATGGCATCAGTAATCTCCCTATGCTCCAGTCATGAGTTTCCAAGGCTATGGAAGCCTTTTGAGTTCTCCGACTCTTATTTAGACAAGGTCATAGTCAAAGTGGAAGTTCTCTCCTCCCTTCAGAGAAAGGTACCTCCTTGTTTGAAGACCTGTTCTTTCCACTGGGATCTCACTCACAGAGATCTTTCATTTAGGTCCTTTTTTTTTTCTTTTTTTTTTAATGCCAGAATGTCTTGGCTTTCCATGCCTGAAATACTCTCATGGCAACCACTGAACCTTTGAGACATTTAGTTTCCTTGTTTGTGAAATGGGAGAAGTAATAGTTATCAGCACAAATTCACAGTGTTGTCATGTCAGATGGAAATAAACGTATTTATTTATTTTTGAAGATTTACTTTATTTATTTAAAAGGCAGAGTTGCAGACAGGTTACTCCCTGAATGGCCACACTGCCTGGGGCTGGGCCAGGCTGAAGCCAGGAGCCTGTAACTCCATCTGGGTTTCCTGTGTGTCCTTGGATCATTTTCTGCTGCCTTCCCAGGCGTATTAGTTGGGAGCTGGATTGGAAGTGGAGCAACTGGGACTTGAACTGATGCTCAATGGGGGCTGAGCAGCTTAAACCGCTGTGCCACAACGCTGGCCCCTGAAGTAAAGGTATTTTGAAGCGTTGTCTAGATGTAATGCCAACGGAGAGGGAAGAAGAACCCAAAACTTTACGGAGCATCTGGTTCAGACCTTCACCTTCAGATGCAGAAGGGGGTCTCAGGTCAGGAGGCCGTGGTTAGTGAATAACGAGAAAATGTGCTTGATGCACGCAGATGTGGGCATTGCACCGGTCTTTATGCACTGCTCTAGGAAGCCAGGACTCTGACTTACAGCTGCAAATGAAAGCATACTTCTTAGATTTGAGTTGTGAAAACATGAACGAGGGTAATTGTGTAAGTGCAGTTTTGTGGCCACATTGTGTGGTTCCAGAATCTTCTGCCATTGGTTCATTTTTTTTTTTTTTGTTTAAGATTTATTTATTTATTTGAAAGAGTTACAGAGAGGCACAGGTAGAGAGAGAGAGGGAGAGAGGGGTCTTTCAACCACTGGTTCATTCCCCAAATGGCCACAATGGCTGGAGTTGGGCTGACCCAAAGCCAGGAGCCAGGAGCTTCCACTGGGTCTCCCACATGGGTGCAGGGGCCCAAGGACTTGGGCCATCTTCTGCTGCTTTCCCAGGCCATAGCAGAGAGCTGGATTGGAAGTAGAATAGCCGAGACATGAACCGGTGCCCATGTGGGATGCTGGCGCCACAGGTGGAGGTTTAACCTACTAAGCTACAGCACCAGCTCCTTTTTTTTTTTTTTTTTTTTTGACAGGCAGAGTGGACAGTGAGAGAGAGAGACAGAGAGAAAGGTCTTCCTTTGCCGTTGGTTCACCCTCCAATGGCCGCCGCGGCCGGCGCGCTGCGGCCGGCGCACCACGCTGATCCGATGGCAGGAGCCAGGAGCTAGGTGCTTTTCCTGGTCTCCCATGGGGTGCAGGGCCCAAGCACCTGGGCCATCCTCCACTGCACTCCCTGGCCACAGCAGAGGGCTGGCCTGGAAGAGGGGCAACCGGGACAGAATCCGGCGCCCCGACCGGGACTAGAACCCGGTGTGCCGGCGCCGCTAGGCGGAGGATTAGCCTAGTGAGCCGCGGCGCCGGCCAGCACCAGCTCCTTTTTAAAGAAGCTTAAATTCTACGATTTGCCTCCTGTGACATGCACAGGCACAGGAGCTCTTCAAACCAGATCCCTCCAAGAATGAAGGCCCTACTGCCCCAGCTGCTGGAAATACTGCCAAAAGAAGGCCCTCCGCTATCAGCCCTCTTCTTCCGGGTCTTCCATGCTGGTGTAGGGGCCCAAGCACTTGGATCATCTACTGCTTTCCCAGGCCATAGCAGAAAGCTGGATAGGGAGTGTAGCAGCCGGGACTCAAACCGGTGCCCATATGGGATGCCGGCACTGTAGGCGCTGGGTTTACTCATTGCATCACAGTGCTAGCCCCATGTCATTGGTTCTTATTGTGTTACATATGTGGGGACCTCCCCCTCTTGTGGACCCCATGCCCATCCCCCTTCTTATTTTATTAGCCTCCTGGCTCCTCACTTCCTCTCTCCACTCCCACACCACAGCACCGTTTCTTTTAAAGGTTTATTTATTTACTTTGGAAGAGTTGTAGAGAGAGAGGGAAAGAAAGAGAGAGCTTCTGCCTGCTGTTTCACGTCCCAGATGGCTGCAATGGCCAGTGCTGGACCAGGCCAAAGCCAAAAGCCAGAAGCTTCTTCCAGGTCTCCCACATGGGTGCAGGGGCCCAAGCACTTGGGCCATCTTTTGCTGCTTTCCCAGGCCACAGCAGAGAGCTGGAAGGCAGTGGGAAAGGTGGGACCTGAGCCAGCGCCCATGTGGGATTTGCCTGCTATGCCACGACGCCGCCCAGCACCTTTTCTCTTCTTTCTCTGTTTGGCAGGTGGGAGGTTCTCACGAGCTGCTGGAGCCCACTTCCAGTCCTGGCTCCACCTCGGACTAGCACTTTTTTTTTTTTTTTTTTTTTTTTTTTTTTTTTTTTTGACAGGCAGAGTGGACAGTGAGAGAGAGAGACAGAGAGAAAGGTCTTCCTTTTTGCCATTGGTTCACCCTCCAATGGCCGCCGCGGCCAGTGCACTTGCGGCCGGCGCACTGTGCTGATCTGAAGCCAGGAGCCAGGTGCTTCTCCCGGTCTCCCATGGGGTGCAGGGCCCAAGCACTTGGGCCATCGTCCACTGCACTCCCGGGCCACAGCAGAGAGCTGGCCTGGAAGAGGGGCAACCGGGACAGAATCCAGCGCCCCGACCGGGACTAGAACCCGGTGTGCCGGCGCCGCAAGGTGGAGGATTAGCCTACTGAGCCGCGGTGCCGACCTTTTTTTTTTTTTTTAAACTGCTATTAGTTTCAGTTCCTTGTGTAAAATTGGGATAATAATACTTGTCCTGCTGACATGTGAAAACCCTCTGGGAAGCACCCAGCGGGCCCCAAATGCTGAGTATCATCCTCATTCCTTCTGCTCCTCCTTTGCCCACCCTCCTTGCCTTGCCTGCAGCATCGCAGCTTCCTCCCAGGATTGCTTTGACAAGTGCAGGGGTCCCAGCACGGGGCCCATCTTCTACTGCTTTTCCAGGCCATAGCAGAGAGCTGGATTGGAAGTGGAGCAGCTGGGTCTTGAACCGGCGCCCATATGGATGCCGGCGCTACAGGTGGCGGCTTTACCTGCTGCTCCACAGCACCAGCCTCAGCTCGAATCTCTTGACTCCTTTCCCCTGAGGATCTCGGCTGAGAAGCCCTGTTCTGTGTGCTGATGGGGCCCACCTCTTTCCTTCTCAGGTTCACTGGCGCTGGGCAAGGGGACAGTCTACACTTCGGAACCTGAAGTCAGAGTTGCAGAGAATAATCGTGAGTTGGGAGGGGCTGTGGAGCAGGGGCAGGGTGGGTGTGAGGTGAGCGGGTTCCAGGGCCAGGGGTTGGGATCATTCTCCGTCTTCTCCTTTCGACCCTCTGCAGCGGCAAAGTTGCCCTGCACTTACTCTGGCTTCTCCAATCCCCGTGTGGAGTGGAAGTTTGTCCAAGGTACAACCACCAGCCTTGTCTGCTATAACAGCAAGATCACAGGTGAGTTGTCCCGCTTCCTTCCTCATTGCCAAGGTTGGGGAATCATTGATCCATGCCTGGGTCTCCCTGGCCTTCCCCTTCTGCCTCCTGGAGGAAGAAGAGGACCTACGTACACCTTGGGTCCCACCTTCCTTGGTTCTCCTGTTCTCTGTTCACTCTGCTCTGCCTCTGCTTCCTCGCTCCTGGCAGCTTCCTATGAGGATCGAGTCACCTTCTCACCGAGCGGCATCACCTTCCGTTCCGTGACTCGGAAAGACACTGGGACGTACACATGCATGGTCTCTGAGGACGACGGCAACAACTATGGGGAGGTCACCATCCAGCTCACTGTGCTTGGTATGTGCACAGTGTTTTCGACTGTTTCCCTAAGCCCGCGTCAGACCCTGCTGAGCTCTGGAACTCGTTGATGACGAAGAGGAGATGAGCCCTTGGCTGGATGCAGATTAGGGGCCTGCCAAGGGAGGGCGGCCACAGGGTTTGGATCGGGGTGTCATCCTAGGCAGCTACTTGGACTCGGGCAACACCCCCAACCCCTCCATTGTGTTCAGCACCTCTTTCCTTCTCTGCCTCCCAGTGCCTCCATCCAAGCCTACAGTCAACATTCCCTCCTCCGCCACCATTGGGAACCGGGTGGTACTGACCTGCTCAGAACAAGATGGTTCCCCGCCCTCTGAATACACCTGGTTCAAGGATGGGATGCTGATGCCTACAGATCCCAAGAACAACCGTGCCTTCATCAACTCTTCCTATACTCTGAACCAAAAGTCAGGGGAGCTGGTATGGATGGGGTGGGGGTGGAAGATGTATGAGAGGCACAGTTGCAGAACCCCTGAACAAGCAACAAAGTGGACTTGGAGTCAGGATCAGGGGATACTTGGGAGAGGTTCTTGGCTTTTTCAAGCAGAAAGCCAATTTGTTTCTAGGTCTTTGATCCCTTGTCAGCCTTTGATACTGGAGAATACAGCTGTCAGGCACAGAATGGATTCGGGACACCGGTGATGTCAAATGCTGTGCGCATGGAAGCTGGTGAGTGAGAGTGTGGTTGGTGCTTGCATTCAGTCCTTGAGTGGCTATGTTATTGGTACCACAGGTAAGCACCCAGGCACCTGACCTCGTGTTGTGTCTCACAGTGGAGCTGAATGTAGGGGGCATTGTGGCTGCTGTCCTGGTCACGCTGATTCTCCTTGGAGTCTTGATCGCAGGCATCTGGTTTGCCTATAGCCGAGGCTACTTTGACAGTGAGTTTGGCTCTCCTTTGTGTTGTCTCCATCCCAGGCATGGGTTCATGGGTGCTCTCCGAGCCCTGACCCTGACACTTTGTCCCTGGATATGGGTGTCTCCCCCCCTCCCCAGGAGCATGGGTCACCTGATCTAGCATGTATCAGATGCCCCGTGCTAGTCCCCTCATTGTGTGTGCCATGCTGTCTTGTACCCTGCTGACACTCAAGATCCCATTTTTTTTTTTTTCTCTTCTAGGAACAAAGAAAGGGTGAGTGACATGTTGTCCTGGGATTGTCGGAGGTGAAAACGTGGATGCATGTGGTTTGCAGCATGGGCCCAGGGGGATGGGCTGGAGAAGGAGACAGCCAGCCTCGGGGGAAGACCTTGGGATTTCTACCCCTGCTCGCTGTGACCCTGGCCTTGTCCTGTCTCCCTCTGTGCACACCTCTCTGCTGAGCACTTCTGTAAAGTTCTTGGTTCTGCCCTCTGAAGTTGGAGGGGAGGGGGTGGCTCTGCACCTGGGGACCTGAGTGTCTCCATCTTCCATCTTCATCTGCAGGACCTCCAGCAAGAAGGTGATCTACAGCCAGCCCACTGCTAGAAGTGACGTGAGTACACTGCCCTGGGGAAGGGGACCTCTGCACACACACGCACACCCCCACACACTCCCAGGGAGTGAGGGGGTTCCCAGCCTGTGTGTGCCTGTGTTTGGGGGATTGTAGGCTAAAGAAAACTAGAGAGAGTTGACTGGATGTTTTCTCTCCCCAGGGCGAATTCAAACAGACCTCGTCATTCTTGGTGTGACCCTGGTCTGGCTCCCGCCTGGTCCTGTGCTTGCCTTACTCCGGTGCTACTAGACTCTAGCCCCTGGTGTCTGTAGTTTTCACAGGCCCTCTACTAGCATCTCAGTTAGGATGTGTTTTTTAATGATGTCAGCTATGTGCCCCTTCTCCCTGTACACACTCTCTCTCAATCCTGCTGCTGCCGAGTGGCCTGGGATTGTAGAAAATTCGTATTCCTCAGCCTATGAGGGGTCAGACAGGAATCCCGGCTGTGCCTATTAACTCCCTTCTACGTAGACAGCCAGAGGGGTGGGGCTTCCTGAAACCCGCCATCGCTACCCAGCTGGGCCGCAGTGGCTTCTGAATCGGTTTCCCTCCCCATGGAGAGCCAGTGCCAGCCATTCTGGAGTGGGGGTCGGAGACTGGAGCGGCTGGAACCGTTGTTTGGTGATGACGTTAAATCTCCTCCATCTCTGGAGCCCACTGTTCTGTCTCCTCACCGGAAGTGCCACGGGGTCCTGTCCTCCGTCTGAACATAAGCAGACTGGCGCTGTGTCCGTAGGAAAGCCGAAGCACAGTAAACCTTCAGGGGACGCGGAGTGGAAAAGATTTAAAACCACTGCTCTGAAGAAAAGCTGGAGCTGGTAGCCCAGACCGTCACCCTTCCCTTGGCTGGAACAACTGGACAGAGCCCTCTGAGACTGTGTGTGTCTGTGGGGCCGTGTGTGGCAGCTGAGCCTGTGTGTGCGTGTGTGCGTGTGTGTGTGTGTGTGCGTGTGTGTGGTCTTAGCCAAATGCTGAAATTGGATGGATGTTGGGAGGTATCTTAGCTCTTTGGTGAGATTGCGTTTCTGTGCGTTTGTCTTAGCTGGATGTTGGAAATAAAAAGTTGACTTGTCGAAGGTTCTTTTTGTGGGAAGCTGGAGAAAGGAGATCTTTGAGGGTCCCTGAGCTCCTTTGTTCAAACAGGAAAATGCCTTCCCTGCAGCCGGGGGCTGGTTCCCAGGACCCTGTCCTGCCTCGCTTCCTGTTTCCTATCTCAAGGCAGAGCTGCTTCCTGGAGCACGCGTTCCAGAACCCTCTGTGACCAGGCCTTCTGCTCGGCCTGCTCAGCCAGGTGAGAGGAGAGGGTGCCCCCTCCCTCTTCCCGCCCAGCCAGGTGCATTAATGGACTTCTCTAGGGCTGCCGGCAGAGCTGCTTTGGGGCCGAGGCAGGGAGTTCCTCAGATCCTTTGGAGAACTTTAGTGTGAAGTAGTAACTGATGCTTTGTCTACTGGGATGGGGTTCAGGAGAGACTGAAGCCTCCTAAGCAAGGCAAGCCTGGCCATCATTGCTTTCTTCTTCCCATCTAGAACCTTCTCTGCCCCTACATTTCTGTTTCCCCATCTTCTACAATCCCTCAATCTATTTATTATGTAGCAAGAGAGCAAAGAAAGGGTCCTGTTGACTATCTTTTATTTCTTTCTGTGGCGCGTGAGTGCCACTTTGTCATGTTCTAGCCCCATATCTGAAAATCCCTAACTCAAAGTTGAGTTTTCTATTATGGATTATAAAAAAAAAAAAAAAAGAGGGTTAAGGGTCATGCGTGTCCCAGTAACAAAAAATATTTCCAGAGGAAATAAGATCCAATTCACTAAGTAGAGATCGTGGTATGGTTCAGTAAGGATGAGATTTTTAAAGTATGCTTCAGTTGCGTATTGTGGTTGGAAGATGGGGTGGGGAGGAGCAGGTGATTCATGGCTCTGGTAAGCTATGGTTCCTCTCTCAGAGCCACTTGTCAAGAGTATGAGTCAGTTACGGCCAGCCTTGGAATTTACCTCTCCATCTTACGAGAGCCCTTTTGAGTTGGAAAACACCCTGTCTGCTTCATTTTAGAATGTCAAAACTACTTTTTTAATAAATGTTTATTTTTCACATTGAGTTCGTTTAAATCCTGAAGTTCTGTATAAAGAGAACTGGGACTCCCAGAGAGACTTGGATGTCCAAACTTTTCCTGGTAATCATATTATTAAGAGATTAGAGATATGCTTCCTCGCATGCTTCTGATAGTTACTTTTTTTTTTTTTTTTTTTTAAGAGGGAGGGAGAGAGACCGTCCATCTGCTGGTTCACTCCCCGAATGGCTCAACTGCTGGGGCTAGGCCAGGCCAAAGCCAGGAGCCAGGAGCTTTTTCCAGGTCTCCCATAGGGGTGCAGGGACCCAAGTTCTTGGGCCATCTTCCACTGCTTTCCCAAGCACATTAGCAGGGAGCTGGATGGAAGTGGAACAGCCAGGACCCAAACAGGCACCCATAGGGGATGCTGGCACCAAGACTACAGCTTAACCTACACCACAGTGCTGGCCCCGATAGTTACTTTTTAATTTAGCTTTTCCATCAGTCTGTGCTAGAATGGGAATGATCCCCAAATTGCCATTCCCTACGTTAAAGGGAGACTTGAGGGATAAGAATGGGACAGGCTCATGGATATTCGTGTTTCAACAGGATCTGAACCCAACATGATCAGATGGGATTTTAAGGATGTCCTTTTTTTTCCTTCAAGATGTGAAATCCAGTGACTTTTTATACATATTCATTGTGTAATGATTGCCACAAATTAACACGTTCAACACCACTCTTGCCTTTCAAATAAATTTTTTTTTTTTTTAAAGGGACAGCAGTGTTGGTCAAAGGGTACAAAATTAAAGAGTTACATTACAGACAGGGAGAGGCCTTCCATCCGCTGGTTCACTCTTCCAGTGACCACAGCAGCCAGAGCTTGGCTGGTCTGAAGCCAGGAGCCTGAAGCTTCTTCCAGGTCTCCCACGTGGGTGCAGGGGTCCAAGCACTTGGGCCATCTTCCAGTGCTTTCACAGACCACAGCAGAGGGCTGGATTGGAAGAGGAGCAACCAGGACAAAAACTGGTGCCCTTATGAGATGCCATTGCCGCAAGTGATGGCTTACCCTAGTGTTGGCCCCCAACATCTGCCCCTTTTTAATTCTTTAGCTTTTCTAGTTTTTCACCCCTTTCTTTTTGGTTCTGGCCAAATCTGATATGAAATTGAACTTTTTTCCCCTAAGATTTATTTGAAAGGCAGAGTGACACAAAGGGAGACACATACACACATTTTCCATCTGCTGGGTCACTTCCCACATGCCTGCAAGAGCTGGGACTGGGTTAGGCTGAAGCCAGGAGCTGGGGACTCCATTCAGGTCTCCCACAGGTGTCAGGGACACCAGTATCTGGGCCTCATCTGCTGCCTCAGGCACATGAGCAGGAAACTGGATCAGAAGTGGAGGCAGGACATGGGTCCCAGGCCCTCTGATATAAAACACAGATGTCCCCAGTGGCAGCCTAACCTACTATACCACAATGCCCACTATTATTAATTAATGTCTTTTAACTTACTTACTAGCTACTATTACTATCCCTGTTTCACGGATTGGGAAAAGAGGCACAGAAATGCTAAGGAACTTGTCCAGATTCCCATGAGTATGGCAAGTGGTGGGTCTCGGATTAAGACAGCTGGGATTGGGGAGGTTGGGTAACCTACCTCACTCAGTGACCTTGAATTGGGAAGAAATGCAGAAGGAAGAGGAACTGGAAATGAGTAAATCTTTTCTGTGGCTGGTGTGCACATAGGTGTTAAAGAGTGAGGATTTTAAAAATAATGGTGTTCATCTGGGGTTTCCTGTGAACTCATGTCACTTGAGTCTGCCGTGCTAACAGGATCCATAGGTAGGAGTGTAAAGATCTTGACAAAACAGGACTCAAGGAAGGAGGGGAGAGGGAGGGCGGGAAGTATTATGTTCTGAAGTATCATTATGCTCTTAAAACTATATGTGATTGCCGGCGCCGCAGCTCACTAGGCTAATCCTCCGCCTTGCGGCGCCGGCACACTGGGTTCTAGTCCCGGTCGGGGCGCCGGATTCTGTCCCGGTTGCCCCTCTTCCAGGCCAGCTCTCTGCTGTGACCAGGCAGTGCAGTGGAGGATGGCCCAAGTGCTTGGGCCCTGCACCCCATGGGAGACCAGGAGAAGTACCTGGCTCCTGCCATCGGATCAGCGCGGTGTGCCGGCCGCGGCGGCCATTGGAGGGTGAACCAACGGCAAAGGAAGACCTTTCTCTCTGTCTCTCTCTCTCACTGTCCACTCTGCCTGTCAAAAAAAAAAAAAAAAACTATGTATGACTATATATAATATATATTATTGCCTTCATACAAATAAAAAGAAATACCTAATGAAGTAAAAAAAAAAAAAAAAAAGACTCACGAGCGCCACCTTCTGGAGGAAAGTACAAACTTGTGTTTTTGCGGGAGGCCAGAAGAGAAGCCCGGCAGGATACTGCAGTTGTGGGCGGCAAGGAGTTAACCAGGAACAACTTCATGGGCTTGCGGAATGAGGAAGAAATCAAAAAGGTCTCAAAGGCATGGACGGTAAACTCCACCCTGTCAAGTGAAATTCAAGCACTACCAGGTCTGAGATTCTGCCTTGGAGTTCAAAAAGTCAACTCCTGCATCCAACAGCAACGATGTAGAATCTACTGCTGGGGACACTGCACCCCAGCAGCAAGCTCTGTAGAGCAGTGAGTTGGGTAGTGAAGGGATTGACTATGCCGTCTAGACGTGTCGGAGGAATTAATGAATAGGAGATAAAATGTAGTCTAGATGTCTGAAGGTTACTGGTTAGCTAGCCCCACGGGAAAAAATTAGGACCAATAGGGACCAATTAGAGTTCAGAACCTGGTGTTTCTAGAGGCTTGAGGAGCGGGTGTGGTGTGGTGCAGTGGGAGGAACGCCCATTTTGGTGTCAGGCAAACCTTGCTTGAGTCTAGACATTCCTGTGACCTTGGCAGAGTTTTTTTTCTCAGCCTTAGCTTTCTCTTCAAAAAAAATGGTAGTAAGAGGACAGGCCTGTGTTAAGCCACTGATGGGGCCAGCATTGTGGTAAACCGCTGCCTGCAGTGCTGGCATCCCTTATGGGTGACATTCAAGTCTCGGCTGCCCCACTTCTGATCCAGCTCTCTGCTATGGCTCCTGGGAAAGCAGTAGAAGATGGCCCAAGTCCTTGGGCCCCTGCAGTTGTGTGAGAGACTGGGAGGAAGCTCCTGGCTTTAGATGGATGCAGCTGCAGCCGGTGCAGCCATCTGGGGAGTGAACCAGTGGATGGAAGACCTCTCTTTCTCTCTCTGCCTCCTGCCCTCTGTAACTCTGCTTTTCAAACAAATAAATAAATCTTAAAAAAAAAAAAAAAAAAGACACTGCTGGGAATGCCTGCATCCTGCCTTGGAGTGCCTTATTTGAGTGCTGGCTCCTCAGTTTCCTGCCAATGTGTACCCTGGGAGACAGCAGGTGATGGCTCAAGTGCTGGGTCTCGGCCATCCATATGCAAGATGTGGACTGGGCTCCAGGCTTCTGGTTTTGGCCTATCCCAGCCTTGGCTGATGGGGGCATTTGGAGAGTGAACCAGTGGATGAAAGATCTCTGTTTCTCTCTCTCTGCCTGTCCAGTAAAATGAAAATTTCAAAAACAGTGGTAACATGTGTTGTATGAAGTTTTGAGATGTGGAGGAGGCAGGGTCTGTAAGTCACTTTGCAGTGCTGTATGGAAGAGCTGTCCACGTTTGATTCTGAACAGGAGATGCTAGGCCTCTGTGAGGACTGCAGGCCATGTGGCCTCTATGGCCATACAGCTCTGCAGTTGTATTGGGAAAGCATCCGTAGACAATAAGTGACTGAGTCTCAATACTGCTTGACTTTTTTTTTTTTAAAGATTTATTTATTTATTTGAAAGTCAGAGTTACATGCAGAGGCAGAGGCAGAGGCAGAAAGAAAGGTCTTCCATCCAATGGTTCACTCCCAAGATGGCCACAACGGCCAGAGCTGTGCCAATCCGAAGCCAGGAGCCAAGAGCTTCTTCCC